TATACTTTAGAATATTCTCTTTGTATACTTTATACCTTAGAATATTCTCTTTGTAAACACCTATATATAGGTCATTGTACATATGATATAATTCAAGAAAGCAATAAACCTTTCTTCAGATATTTCTCCTTCTTTTCAGTTTCTAACAAATGATTTGATGATAAATCGAGATACCAAAGATTTATTAAATTAGCAATTGAGTTAGGAATTGAGCCCTGGAGTTTATTGTTTGACAAATCTAGGTGTGTGAGTGAGTTTTGCTGGAATTGGTTTATTTGACCTTGAAATTGGTTATTACTAAGACTCAAGTACTCTAAAAAAGGTAGGGTGAAAATCCAAGGTGGCAACGTGCCATTAAGTAAGTTATAAGATAAGTGTAGATACCTTAGTTTGGAAAACCTAATAGCATGAAAAGGAATGGAACCAGAAAACTGATTCCTGTAAAGGTAAAGAGAGGTAAGTTGGGTGAGGTTTGTAAGTGATGATGGGATTTGTCCGCTAAGATTGTTAGAAGAGAGGTCTAGGCTAGTAAGTTGCCCTAAGTTACCTATGGAAGCTGGAATGGGACCAGAAAACTGATTAAGTTCAAGGTAAAGATAGGTAAGTCGGGTGAGGTTTGCAAGTGATGATGGGATTTGTCCGCTAAGATTGTTATAAGAGAGGCCTAGGCTAGTAAGTTGCCTTAAGTTACCTATGGAAGCTGGAATGGGACCAGAAAACTGATTATCGAAAAGGCCAAGATAGGTAAGTTGGGTGAGGTTTGCAAGTGATGACGGGATTTGTCCGCTAAGATTGTTAGAATAGAGGCCTAGGATAGTAAGTTGCCTTAAGTTACCGATGGAAGCTGGAATGGGACCAGAAAACTGATTACGGTGAAGGTAAAGATAGGTAAGTTGGGTGAGGTTTGCAAGTGATGATGGGATTTGTTCGCTAAGATTGTTAGAAGAGAGGTATAGGCTAGTAAGTTGCCTTAAGTTACATATGGAAGATAGAATGGGACCAGAAAACTGATTCCTGTAAAGGTAAAGAGAGGTAAGTTGGGTGAGGTTTGCAAGTGATGATGGGATTTGTCCGCTAAGATTGTTATAAAAGAGGCTTAGGTAAGTAAGTTGAGATAAGTTCCCTATGGAAGCTGGAATGGAACCTTCCAAGTTGCAGCCAAGACTTAGAGACTGTAATGACTTAAGATCTCCTACAGACTCTCGCAATCGCCTTCCGCAATGCATATCACCCAAATACAACTGTTGGAGAGGACTACTCCAATTGGAACTTGGAAGATCAATAGTGAGGTTTCGGTTTCCACTTAAGTAAAAATTCTTGAGATTTGGAAAGTGAAAAATACTGTTTGGAAAGTTTCCTCTTAATGCACTCTCCCAAAGATCAAGAGTAGTCAATGAAGAAGAGAGATTCATGAAGAAACGAGGATTAACAGAAGTCATGTTCACTGCATTAAGCACAAGTTCTCTCACCTCACTCAAGTTATGAACAAGATTTTTGAAGGTAGTTGTTTCAAGGATCAAGTCATAATTAGAGAGATTGAGAGAAACTAACTTGGGGAGGTGAGCAATTTCTGCTGGAACTTGGCCCGAAAACTGAGAATAAGAGATATCAAGATGCTTTAGTCTAGTAAACAGACTGATTTCTGGTGGAATCTTGGAAAGCCTAAAATCATTGAAGGCAAGATTGAGGCTCTGCAGGTTTCTGAGGAAGAAAAGAGTGCTGTTGGAAGGAAAGGTGCCATAAAGGAAACTGCAGCTGAGATTAAGGGCAATTACATGGCCTGTGACATTATCACAGCTAACCCCATCCCAGGAACAACAATCTATACCTCTCTTCCATGACTCAATCTTAGAATAAATTTCCCCACAAGAATCTGGATACGGAATGGTGTAATTGATGGAGAAGGATGTCTTGAATTGCAGCAAAGCAAGAGCCTCCTCATAAGAGCAGAGATGCGTTGTTGAGAAGGCAGTTTTAAGACAGAGGAAGACAAAAAGGGGGCAGAGTGGTGCAGAGAGCTTTGTGAAGATCCTCATATCTTTGTTTGGCGCAATCGAGTACTCAGGAAGAGTATATATAGAGTATTTAAAATTGAGGGATGCTGATAATTTGAATATATATTCCATCAAAATAAAAATAAATGAATATAGGCTGTAATATTGACGCACGGTGGATGTCATTTTTTAATTTATTTTTTGATTTTTTTATTTATTATTTTAAAATTTAAATAAATGATCTAACCTAAAAGTTTTTTTACTTTATAAGATTCAAATTAAATTTAAATAAGATTTTTTAATTTTGTTTATCTTATTAATTAAGTAATCTTTCCGTTTCTCTAGTTTATTTATTTGAGGATCAAATTTATCAACAAACAAATTTCATATTGTAGAATTTGAGCTCAATGCTATACTCATAAAATTTAATTTTTTTAAATACGTCAAATCATTTTTGAATAGTGCATTAAATCAC